ACTGTCTAGGAATTTTAAAGGAAATAGTCGAAAAACGACAGACGAAAGACGAAAGCGACCTTCGTGCGTGTCACTGTCTAAGATTTTAACGTGTGACGTCAGACGTCAGTGTCTCAACCAATCACAATCGAACGATAATCGCTTTCGTTTCGTTCATGTTTTTTACTGTCTAACCCCGCTGCCATCGCCGCCGGCCGGTTTTTTATTCATTACCTCGCCCGTTACCCCGCGCAGTACACGGTTTTTAGTGTATAAATACCGCGTCAAACACTCCACAATTATTATGTCATACTTCAGTGGTCACGACGACACATCCGAAGATGAAGACTCCAATCAGTTCTCCGGTAGCATCGACGTCAGGGAAGGGGTCGACTGGGAAAAATTTATCAGTTCATTTCCAACAAATATCGCCGGCACCGACATCGAGCGAGGAAAAAAGCGACAACGAGTACGAGAAGAACAACGAATTGGGCGAATTTTTAAAGATGAATCAGAAACAGAATCATCTACAGACGACAATTCAGATAGTGGAGAACGAGTGCGTTCAAGACATTGGAACAGAGACTCAAGTTATAGTGGACGACATGGAAAAGCAAGCATCGCAAAAGTGTCCCGCAAGCGCAAGAATGCTCCGAAGAAGAGTGCCACTCCGATGAAGAAAGTATCAAAAGCGTTGCCTGACCCTCCGGCAGACAGTTTTTTGGGTCTGCTAGAATTGATATGGACAGCAGACGTGCACAAAACCGTAATGGAGCATTTGAAATACGGCGAACAGAAAGCGATGCAAACGAAGGATTTGAGCCTAAAGAGAGAATTTACGAACCTGATCTCATTGTGGAAGACCGTGTTGAAATTAATTGTCCACAAGCTGAGACAGAACGGATGCGAAGATTTATCATGGAATACATTCAAAATCATCCTCTCAGATGGTTTTAATTGATTCCAATATTTTTAAAAAGACCGCGCGGTGAGAGTGGGGTAATTAATGTTTACACTGTGCCGCTAGCGGCACATGGCACCCGATGGCATGTCATCTAGATGGCACCCAAGTGATAAACAACCATCAGGTGTTATTCACAAGCCCAGAATAACTTAAAATGTCGTCACGAAAGTGCAAATACGATGCTGATGCATTTTGTATTATATGTGGTTAATTTATTAAAGTTCGAGACGTGAAATATGAACTAGAGACATCTCACGTTCTCTGTGAAGCCTATGAAGCATATTTTGACTGTCCCGTACGGAATCAAGATAAGCCATGGGCTCCAATGTTGCTTATAGTTGCAAAATGTTGCTTATAGTTATTGTAAAAGATGTTTGGAAGGTTAGCAATTTTTATTTAATTAAGCGATGAATCCAAAATAATAGACATATTAATTTTTATTTTTATATTTTTAGGTTGGTATCGAGGTGACAAAAGGTCTATGAAATAATTATTAGTAAATTTTAGATAGGAATAGTAAACAAAAAGTTTGAAAATAAAGACACCCGCATTTCAGGTCCCTGAGAAAAAAATGTCAGGCGAACGACGAGGGCGGCAAAAAGGCCGCCCCAAAAAAAAAACCTGTTGGATCTCGCCGTGCAAGAGCCAACCATTTATTTCTCATTGTTTTGTTATTTGGGACGTAAACAAATAACTTGTTCGGAGTTTTTATATATGTATTATTGCACTGAGGGACCACACACCACTTATACACTTTTGAATTCACATTTCATATGCAAAATAACTTGATTTAACACAAGCATCTAATGTTTACTATTAACGTACTGAACTTTACTGAGACGTGACGTATTTATAGACGCCATGACACTGAACAGCGTTTTAGCGCGAAATAGAAACTTAAAATTTAAATTTTATTATATTGCATCAAAACCATTATTTTCTACAGAAATATAATATATTTTTGATTTAATAGATACTTCTGAATATCATAAAATACATTTTAAAAATTAGTCATCATGCCTATTATCTGCTTATGTGTATTCAGATAGATTAATTTATATTCTAGATTTCCAACTCGTAAAATCCGAATCTCTAAAACTATATCATATATATTCAACCCCTATACAACATCCTAATTCCTCCCTCTATACAACCATCCTACCGGAGCATAAGTTTTTAGCCACAAACCCCAGCGGTCAAGCATACATCTCAACAAGTTCGTTGGACCACTGCAAAACCTTCGCCGAGAAAAGAAGTGTTTGCAACGACCTCATCATCTACGACGCTGACACACGTCCAATATGCGAACTACAAGTCCTTTTCAGCATTTCAAAGAAAATTCCGATCAGCTACACAAGTTCAACTTTCGTCGCACAAATAAATACGTTCCAATCGTTAGATGATAACAGATAGCTGTTTATTTTAACGAATTCAACGCCATGCGTTCTTCAATGCAACAATGAGGTATCACATCTCATTCGAGGATCCGGCATAATCACATTAAAAGAAAATTGTAAACTTCACACTGGATACAGCACGCTTTCAGCACATAAAATCAAAAAAGAAAACATTATGTACCCAATCATCATCCCTGACTTCAACATTCAAGACTGCATTGAAGAAAACAAAAAGACCGAACTACCAAACCTACTTCCCATTTCTCTAAATGAAGTTCCTTTGGACTCCCTCAATATCAAACATCAATTACACAACCATCACGAAGAAATCCAAAAATTTAAAAACAAGCCATTTATTGAAAGAAATCAGAACGGATTTTCTTGGTTCTCCATTATAACCGGAACTATGATATTGTTAATGCTATATATACTCTTCAGAAAATATATCCAACGTCAGCGAAGACAAACGCACGGAGAAAATCATTGCATCCAATTCTTTAACAATTGCCTCGGTTCATCCTCGCGACGACGAATAACACATGTTCACGACATCCCGATGAGAACAATAAGTACTCCAGTTCCAGCAACAACATCGTGCATCTCTGAAGACGAAGACGATGCCCCAAACACCACCAAAAGAACGGACGCTAACGCCCAATCTTTATTCTAAGAGGGGAGGTGTTATATAACCTACCGTAGTACATAAGAACCCTTAATATATAAGATAACTTTAATACATAAGAATTCTAACTCTAGCATATAATATTATATCAAGATCTCATGTTTCTATTCTTAGTCATATTTGTTCCTATAATGTTATTTGTCACTCCTAATATTATTTGTCGCTCCTGATGTTATATTTACAATTCCCGCATTGATGAATTATCATGCTTGTTACATACATAGCCACAAGGAATACTGCGTACGCAGCATTGACATCGATGCGACCTACATTTGAAGAAGGCGCTAACCGCTGATGCTGCATAACGTGACCCGAGGCAATGTTATGTGATTCAAACAATAAAACATTATTCCAAATTCATACTTCGAATTGGATAGTCAGATTAGTTAGCAATAAAGTTTTAAATTGTAATTTCTATTATAATAAATAATTATAAGTTAATTGGTTTTTTTTCGATCCTACGGCTGTAGCATTCGTAATTAGTCCCAGTGTCAATCGTAACGTGCAAAGATATGCCACCTATATTCTCTACCAGGAAGCGCAGACTTGTGGAACCGTGCCCTCACATTTCGAAGTGAAAAAGGCACAACATTTGTACTGTTTTCAAGGTAACCAAAACAATCGGTCCAAGTGTTGAATTGATTGTAACCAGCTCTCTTTCAAAATGTTGGACATTTAATATGCAACTGACGTTCTGACGTAAAGGCTTTTACAGAACATCAGCGCTTATTTTACAAGTAAGAACCATAGCTGAGTAAAGGCCTTATCCATTCAGCACTTTAAAGTTTAACATTTTTTTTCTTTTATGCATTTGCTAATTATGTATGTGCTTTTTTGTATATTCCATTATTCTATTGTTCTGTGTCTTAGCATGTATATGTTTTATTATTTTTATTCCCTCAATCTTTTATCTGCTACTACTATGTTATTTTAAGTTCTGAATGGATTAAATGTGTTATTATTATTATTAATAATATTTTCTTATGTTTTAATGTCATTAGAAACTGTTTTACGAGTTACAAATAAATAATAAGAATGATGATGACATCTTGGTGTATTTTGATTTCATTCGGACCCATAGTATCATCTGTACCCTCTATTTTGGAGCCCTGGTGCGGTTAAGATTTTTTTTTTATGTATTTCTCTTAGCACTAGTGCTTGAATAAGGCCCATACCAAAAATAAGCAAGATCCGACAAACTTTACCATCCTGCGATCAGAAGGATATAATTACGTAATCTGCTAACAAAGACCATAAGAGACCAGCACAAAAATAATTCAAAGAGGTTAAAACTGTCACTGGTCAAGCTGCGAAGATTAATGTACAAGTTTTCTGAACAACTTCAATTTCTCAGGACATTGACGAAGAAAGAAATGTTACAATTAATTTTGTAAATGCAGTGAAAAGATGCTTTTCCACCATCGTACATACATGAGCAACGATTCGATTTCTTTACATCAGGGATGTTGCGAATATTCGTATCCGCATCCGCAAATGCGGAACTTCCGCATAGATTTGGACATCTGCATCTGCATTAATCAGTGCGGATGTTCATACGAATGCGAATATCATGCAAGTAGCCGGGCAGTGTACCTAGCGAACAATTATTTAGTAGCGCGGGTTTAATTTATGAACCTCTGCGTAATCGCCTTGAACCAGAAAAGGCGGCAATACTCCTGTTCATTAAGTATAATGCTCCTATTTTTTATTTTAATTACTAATTTACCAATCGGTGTTTAATATGTACTAATGTTTGATTAATTATAATAAAAATATTAATCATTGTTTTAATTCTTCATTAATAGACTTTACATAATGAGCCCTGAAATTATGATGATGATGATGACGGTTTACATATTATCTTAACATCCGCATCTGAGCCCTCAAAAGTCCGCATCCGCATTCGCATCCGTGGCTGTGAAAAAAATCCCTGCTCTACATCAGCAGGCTCACATATCGTAGCAAGTTCAACTCCTACTTCATGCAATATCAGCTGCATCTTCCTACAATTAACTTAGATGAGTCTCCATCAGACTGCCAATACAAGAGCTTCTGAAGCCGCGTCTGAAAAAAAGACATCTGCCCCTGGTTCAGAATCTGTTTTAGCTGCTCTAATGAAATGAATAGATACAAATACTGAACAAGAACAAGTTACAGGAAAGAGCGGGACTTCCTAGCACAAGTACCTATCGGATACTTAAATTGAAGTCTCAACATCAGCATAAATTGGATAAGGTATGCATTAAGTACTACATGGGTTTCCAAACCCAGAGGACATTCGAGAACACTTTAATACATTGCAATTGGTGGCAATATCTTGGCTCTGGAAAATGGACACAAACTTCAGTACTCACGTGTTTGTCGATCGCATTTTCAAGAGAAATACTTATGCCGCAACAATAAAATTATCAAAATTGCTGTACCAACATTAATTATGCCAGATTTTTGTAAAATTTAAGCATCACAAAATACCTAAATTTTAATATTTCACATAATATGCAACTGTTCTTTTTTCCAGAACCATTGTCATTACAAACATCTAAGCAGAAGCCAATGCAAGAAATTTGCAATGCGAGCAAACCATGCGATGCCAGTAAACCCTGCGATACCAGCTAACCCTGCGATACCAGCAAACCCTGCGATACCAGCTAACCCTGCGATACCAGCAAACCCTGCGATACCAGTTAACCCTGCGATACCAGCAAAGCCTACGATACTAGCTAACCCTGCGATACCAGCAAAGCCTACGATACCAGCTAACCCTGCGATACCAGCAAAGCCTACGATACCAGCTAACAATCAAAATATAAGTTATTTTGAAACTGTTTATAACAGTATATAGATACTAATGAAATACATTCAGCAATTCTATTAAATACAATCGGAGAAGAATATCACAATATTCCAGAGCTTCAACATCGACAGAAATTCAATGAGAAGTTACTCAAAAAATTTGGTCCATACACGAATATCACGGTGGAGAGGTGACAATTCTTAAGAAGATTAGGAGGAAACCTATCCTTTCGCTTTCCAACATGCACATCAATCGCTAGAATGAAAGGATTTCACAGAGAAAATGAAATTGTTTAACTTGTTGGAGAAGTCTTTTGGTAATTCCAGTATCTTGTAACAAATGTAACGAAGAAACTGGGATTTCAGTGGTGCCATCAAAAATGCCGGAGACACTAGTTCTCAAGGGCAAAAGACAAATAGGAACCGTAACGTCAGCAGAACGTGGAAAAAAAGCAACAATCACTTCTGAAAATTGAGTGCAGCTGGCACTTTTGTTCCGCCGATGATGGTACTCCCGAGCAAAAGGGGAATTCGCTACTGATGAAAACTGTTCCACTTAGTAGCATGCTTGTCATCCCTCCCGATGGATACAACAAGACATATTTACTCAATCGTTTAAACATATTAACTTCATACGAAACCAAATGCTGTATCGTCGGTTCTACTGATTTTAGATAGCTATGCAAGCCACACCAGAAATATCAAAGTTGTGGATTTAGCCAGACGAACCTGAAAATTGCTGGAAGACATCCATAGGTGAAAATAAGATGTACCAGTTATTTTGTAAAGACTAAAGTAAGATCTGATACATTACAAGTAGAAATATCCAGCTTTATGGTTTGGCAAAAATTTTATTTGTCACTTGTTTTAGTAATTTTGACAAATTTTAGCTTTAAAACCATGATATACAATATACTTCACTTGTAAAAATGTACTTCAATGCGTACAGTATCGTAAGGATGAGATCTGCTTGTTTATCTACAGTTTGCTCGCCAACGACCAAGTGACCGAGAGCAATGAAAAAGGAAACTCGCGTATTCTTATAGATAGCTGAAATCCCGCATTAAAACAATAAAGGTCCAAAAATTCAAGTTCATAAAGTGAGAGTAATGAGCCACAAGAGAGTTTTAAGGCACTTGCTTGCGTATACAAGATTTTTATGTATTATATTGTTTTTGCTTGTCACCTAACAAATTTGCTAAACTTGTTTTCTAACCGAAGAACAGTGTAAAACACTACCATATTGGTATTTGCATTTTTATTGCTAGATAAAAGTTTTATTTATTAAAATCTGAAAATACAACTCTTTGTTTTTCATATGTCATTTGTTTAACGATTTCGCGGCAAATTGAAAATTGTATCACCCTTATTTTAGTTTTATTATTTTTTTGCTTACAAATCTAAATAAAATAAACATTACACTTAAAAATTTGAATTCTAAATTATTAGGGCTACATGGTTTGAGGAAAATATGCTTTAAAAGTTTTTTTTTTACGATTTTTTAAAAACTTGCAAAAAAATTTAGAAATGCTAATTTATGAAATGATTTCAAATATACTTTCTTTTTATATTTAAATTTCCTTGATAATTAGTATTTTTAACCGTCCTCGAAAGAAGGAAGTTCTCAATTAGTTTCATTTTGTATTATACTTTTATAAGAATATAGAAAATTTTAATTTTTAGTGAAAAGAAATGGAAAGTGATTCGCCGCCAGTATCACCTTCGGCCAGATCGTTGGTTGTGGAGATGGAAGTGGAAGTGGAGAGGATATCGGGGACAGAACCGGGTATTTTTTTATTTCTCATAATTTCGTATTATTTTATATTTGAATTTACATTGAATTTTTTTAAGAGTATACAAATTTTTATGTTTGTTATTAGGCTTATTTTATTTCAAGGCATTTTTGAACCATCTACGTCGTCCGACTGGCCGCCGCCGCGTGTATCAGCATCTACACCGACTTCCACTCATTCGGCTAGACATTTGGTCGTAGGGATGGAAATTACGCGGACACCCTCAGGGACACTGCGAGTGGCTGAGAATGTACTTTTGGAGAGGACACCCTCGGGATCCGTTCGAGTATGTAGAATCTAATATTTTTTTTATCTTCGCCTTTTCCCAGTTATTTGGGGTCGGGCTTCGTCGTCCTAAGTCTCCAGACAGCACGACTCTTAGAGGCTTGTTCGTTAAGGTTGATTTCCTACATATCCCTTTAGATCGTCGTCAGCCAAGTGGTAGGTGGTCTAATATAAATAATAATAATATGTGCTTTACAGCCTTGGCGTCCATCATCATTGATGGCGAGTGAAGGCGTGGAGATAGTGGACAGCCTCAAGCCTGTCAATCTCTTTCCCTCCGAGGAGATCAACAATGTAAGTATATCTGCCAATGTTATTTGTTAAGGCCATGAAGAGAATATAATAATAAAATTATATTAGGTTTCGGATTGAATAGCATGGCATCTTATTTCAGGATGATGACATTTTTGACGCCCCGTTAGCTCAGCTCTTAGATTCTGGGAGCGAAGCCGACGACGACGAGTTTGAGGATGAAGGGGAATTAAATTTGCAACTGCAAGCGATCTGGGACGAAGACAATTTAAACGATCACAACAACGACACCGAAGCCATTGCTGAGCCCGCGCTCAGTGCCATAAATACAAATTATGACTGGTCGGAAGACTGGTCGGGCTTTACAGGTGTAAAGGAACACTTCAACGAGGCTGTTGGCCCCAAAATTGAGGGAATAAGCCCGTTAGCAATATTCTCTCAAATTTGGGACCAACCGCTGATGGAATCTATAGTGGCCAGCACTAATCAGTACGCCTGGGAAACTATAGTCAAATATACAGAGACTGAAAGTGGTATCCCGCCTAAATCACGTCTTCATTCTTGGGACGAAACGTCCGTCGACGAACTTTATCGCTTGATCGCGGTAATAATATTGATGAGCATCTGCGTCAGAAACCGTATCGATGAGTACTGGTCTACCGGCACTTTAGGCATGCCAGAATTTAGAAAAATCATGAGTATTAACCGGTATACATTACTCATGAAATTTTTACATTTTGTGGACAACAGTACCATCGATACGGATTCCCACGGCGCAGAAAGGAAACTAGCCAAAATCAAGCCATTGCTTGATAACTTAAATAATAAATTTCAAGAGGTTTACGCGCCTCGCAGAGAATTGTCACTCGACGAATCGTTGCTGCTTTGGAAAGGCCGACTAAGTTGGAAGCAGTGTATCAGATCCAAAGCAGCACGATTTGGAATAAAGAGTTACGACCTCTGCGAGGCCGCGACTGGCTATGTCCTCAATACCATGATTTATACTGGGAAAAATAGTTCTCTTCCCACTATTTATGGATTTCAGTCGAGCACCGAAAAAATTGTTATCCATTTGTTTAATAGTTATCTTAACAAGGGGTTTTCGCTGTTCATGGATAACTATTATAACTCTATTGAACTGTGTAGATTTTTAAAAACTAAAAAAACGGATGTTGTCGGCACCATAAGCCGGCGACGCAAACAAATTCCAGACGCCATAAAAGCCGTCGATAAAAAGGTTGACCGGGGCACTGTGGTAAGTCGACACTGTGGTGACATTTCTGTTGTATGTTGGAAAGACGTCAAATTAGTAAGTGCAGTGTCGACTTACCACAAAAACGACATGGTTGAGGGCAGACGGGCGGGTGAAGCTCGACAAAAACCCGCCGTTATTGACACTTATAACGCATTTATGGGAGGGGTAGATCTTAAAGATCAAAAACTGTCTACGTATCTGCTTGAACGGAAAAGGGGACTAAAGTGGTACATAAAGGTTTTTAAAAGATTATTGAATACCGCAATTTTAAATTCATATATAATATATGTGGCCAATATGGGCCAACAAAAGCCTGTTACGCACCGAGCCTTTCGCTACCGCCTCGTAGAGGAAATTTTGGAAAACGGGATTACAGTGTCTCTGCATGTGAACTAAGATGAATACGGAGGCAGACATAAGCCAAGTTTCTAACGACGTTTGAAATCAACGCGAAACAAACACGCAACTACCAAATTGCACCAAATGCAGTGTCTGTTCAGGAAACTCCAGGAGCTCATATATGTGGAGATTTTTTTCCTGACTACGTGACGATATAGTACACTGAGGACTGCATTAAACATTACGAATGTAATAACAGTATGTTGCATGGTGTTACATCTTACAGTGCATTAAAGGAGAAATTGGTAATATACGAAAAAATAAAAAGTAAGTCGAAGGAAGTAAGAAAAGATCGTGTGAGTTATCAGTAGAAGACTGTTCCTGTGAAAAAACGGCGTTACAACTGTGGAAGCATAGATCATGTGGCTAGTGCACTCACTACACACTTAAAAACGGTGTAAAGTGTTTTGGTTGTAATCAATTCGGCCATATAAGACCATATGGCAAGATGCAAAATAACATGAACACGGATGCAAATTATGGAAGTGAGATGGCGGCCGGTAGAAGAGGTTTGAATTGACGTTCGGCTATATTCGAAGCGATGCCAACCAATGACGGAGCGCGTCGTGAATTTTAAGATGGCAGCAAGGACGCTTGAATGTCAACGACCTTTGACAATCCGTCAAAGCAAAGTAACAGTGACAAAAAATTCCAATAACTTTCACTGCCGCGGACTCGCCCTTTTCCAATGGTTTACTTAAATGAAAAAATCAAACGTTTGTCAATAAAATTAGATACAAAATAAACGAAAAGAAATCTAAAGTAATATGGACAACTATAGCACAAAATTGTGTAAAAACTTATAATGAAACGGAGCATACTGTCACTGGACATGCTAAATATAAAGAGTCATGTAGGCATAACCTATAAATAGACAAAAAGACATTCAGAAGCATATCCCATTAAAGATCCATTAAGGAAGTACTGTATCCACTTCCTTAATAACCAGAAATAAGTTAACAATAGGAGCCCTTTGTACAATCAACTCTATATGTTTTATTAGAATAAATAGTCAGTCTTTGCTTTTTAAAAATGCTGTTGCGTTCGCCCACAACCTATCTGGCGCAGTCGGTACCTTGCGTTTTAAAGTCGGTTCAAGCGAATTAGAAAGCAGAAGCAGCTGAAAAATTTTACTCCGTTCCAGCCAAAGGCGCGAGCAGAATCTACGTTGGGCCTGATATCAGACAGCGTGCGACTCAAGAATAACATTTTTAGCCTTCAATCGCCAACACTCGTGGGGTTTCCTTTCTACCACTCCTACAGAATTTATTAACAATTTTTGTGTATTTCTTGTGTGGGGTTTAGTTGATTCGTTGGTGCTATTTCTTATTTTGTTAGGTTAAAATGACTACAAGTAATGAAAAAGTAACTGACAAAAAACAATTCGTAAAAGAGATCGATTATGCGACTCTGTCAATTTTGTTTCCTCCTTATGATGGCAACAAGTGCACCTTGGCATTTAACAAACAAAACAAACGAAGGTGTGGAAAATTTATTGAAACCGATTTCTAGTAAGGACGACCCTTGTCTAGTAAATCTAATAACGGGTAGAGCTGCGGAAGCTATCTCAGATAGTGGTAGCGCATCTACCTGGGAGGAAATTAAATCAATCCTAAAGAATAGATTCGGCGAATTCAGAAATGAATCCCAATTAGTTCAAGAGCTCTTGCTCAGTAATAGGGATAACCAATCAACGATTTAATTCTACGATTTACTATATAATATTAATTCTATTGAAATATACCTACCCATTTAAAATAAAAATGTATAGAATTGATGAG